TTTTTGCTGTCGTATTCTACGACATTTAGATTTAGACAGTCCGAAAGTATAATTACTTTTTGCTGTCGGATTAAACGACATTTAGATTTGGACATTCCGTAAGTATAATTAATTTTTGCTGTCAGATTAAACGACATTTAGATTTGGACAGTCCGAAAGTATCTTAGGTGAAGTAGATCACCTCAGATCTGTTCGGATCTGCTCAAATCTAACTAAATCTGTGGAGTTTTAATTATAGTAAATCTGAGTAGATCTAAAGTAGATTTAATAATATATAAAAGTGTAAATTTAATAGATCTGCTTATATTTATTTAGATCTACTTTATATTTATTTAGATTTACTTTATATCTATTTAGATTTAATTTGGATTTAATTAGATCTATTTTTCCATTTTTTTTTTATCTTGTTAAATTTTAGTTAGATCTAATCCATTTTTTTTCGGGGTATTAATAAAACATACGTATAATCTTTTTTCTTTTTACTCATATATATGCAAAATATCTCTTTTGTTTTTGCAGTAATTTAGGTATACATGTAACATTTTAAAAATTTAGGTTTATATGACACTTTAAAAATATTTGTACCAATGTTAATAAAAGTCCAGCGTTTCGTGGAATCAGTAGGGCTCTGTTCGGTTATTACTGAAAGTCTATAGGTTCACGTAACGTATCCTATAGATTTTTCGGTACGTAGATAACCGACACACACACACACACACAGAGGGCCCAGGCGATCAGATGATCGCGTTTAAAGATGGCCGCGAAAGAAGCGGGCAAAACTGCGCTTCGATATTTTCTTGGAACATGTATTCCTTCGTCAAAACAAAATGCAGTGAAAGTCCGAGTGCCGCGATTACAATTCGACGATTACATTCACATGGTTAGTATACGCGAAAACATCACATGTGGAAAAAAGTGAGTATATCTGTTTAAGACAACTTGTTGAGGTTATATTTCTTGTTAGTACTTCAAAGAGCATGAGTTCGTTTACGCTAACGATCCGAAGAAAATGTGCAAGACCGGTGATGTGATCTTGATAAAGGTATTACCAGAAAAACTGACACGCTTGATCTCACACGAGGTTTGTATTATGCTATATAGTCACGTTTGATTATATAAAAACAAATTTTACAAACTAAAATTTAACAAACAAAATATCAATATAAATTTTTACTAAATATAGGTTGTCGAAGTGGTATATCCATTAGGTGACATCACAGATCCAATTACAGGAAAGAAAGTTATTCAACATAGATACAGGTACATAGAAATTATTTAAAATTATTTTTGAGAAAATACTTTAATATACACAGGAAATCTGTTTAATTAATTTGAAAAGTGAATACACATTTGAATTTGTTTCTTTCTTCGTTAATATGTAGAGATGAATTAGATGAGGAAGATGAATTGTATGGCAAAAGAGAATCAAGATTCGATTATTCGAAAGCACCACGAAGAGGAAGGTTAGAAAATATTCGAGACTTCACTCATAAGAAAATGTATCTAAGATATCACGATGATCCTAATAATCCACAACCGGACAGAAATAGTACTGTATAATACGTGCGAGAAAGATTTAATAAATTAAATATATTAGACTTTTATGTGTGTTTTTATTTTTCAAGTTTTTACTACATCTTAGGATTTTCCAAGTTTTTACTACATCTTAGGATTTTCATAGAAAAACTTAAGACTTAATTATGATACCTCTAAAAATATTAAGATAAAATACAAATTTTATCTTGCAACTGTGCTAGAGAGGTATCTCTTAATGAAATGTTCTTTAGCGCGAAAAGTAACAAATTTTCTGTGACATTCAGTCACATGTTCGGTATTCACGCGCAACAAATTATTGCCAGTTGTTTATTACTTAATCCAAAGAAAACTTTTCGATCAAATAATTTGTGTAATTTTACTCAACTAAAATAAATTATGTATGTGCGCAAAGTTTGAAAGAATTCTATACAGAAAGATGTAATTTTTCTTGTCCTGAGTTATAAAAGTTTATTGATTTTATTTGTATTTTTTTTTTTTTTAAGTATATATAATATATTTCTATTGTATATCGTGATTGAGATTATACAAATTTGTATATATTATTATTATTAATAACTTTGCGTATCAATCATTGAATTTGAAATTTTATAAATAAATTACGGCACACAAACAAACTTTCTGAATAAACAAGAAACCAAAATATTCACATATTAATAATTAACGTAGTTTTTATTCAGAAAGAAATTCTCTCTCGAGCGCAGCACCCAACGCGTTCCATTCTCGATCATCATCTCCGTCCTCGATTTCGTCTATTGAATCCTGCGAATTATCACCCAGATCTAAGTAATCGGGTAAAATTTCTCCTCTTCTAAAACGAGCAGCGATATCATCGTCACTGTCACGATTATCATCCTTCTCACTGTCAAGATTATCATCCTTCTCACTGTCAAGATTATTATCTTCGTCGCTTTCGTCATAATTATCTTCGTCAAATTTTTCATTAGAATTGCCGTTGCAAATCTTTCTCTTCTTTCTTCTTGGTGGCCTCGATTCACCTATCAATATACAATACAGGAGGAAAATTGAAATTGATCAATTATTATTAATAAAACATCCAGAATTGTTAACTTTTTGTTTCTTTATCATTTTTGTTTCGTAGCTTCTATTGCGAATTACCTAATTGTTCAAAACAGGGACTTATACCGATATGCAAAATACCGGTATTTTACCGATATTTTTGGATAATACTATGAAAACCCTTGTGCAAACCGAAATGCAGAAATATCGGTATGACGTCATACCGGTATACGATAATACCGGTATATTTACTCATATTTACCTATATTTACCGATAATTTTTCGAGCACATTAAGCGATTGATATTATATTAAGAAACTAACAGAAGACGATTTTTACAATTTATATATAAATTTGTCCAATACGAAAACATGGGCCAGAGAAAAGCAAATTTTGTACACGAGTATTTCCAGTATATGATTCATCGTGCAAAAAATCATTATGTTTAATTAATGATTGTAGAACATGAAGTTACTGTAAGTAGTTTTAAATATATTTATATATACTAGACGGTCGATTATTTTTTAAATAAAATATATCTTTAGGAAAATCATGCTACAAATCTATTGGCACATGTATCTTCGACTCATCCGCGTGAATTTACATTAGTCACGCTACGTAATAAAAGAAAGCATGAAGAAACAGCTGCTTCATCAATTGGTTTATAAAAAAAAGCGTCTTTATATTTTGTCGGTCTATAAGCCCAATAAGCGGTTGGAAGATTAATTATGCAACAAAAATTGCTTTAATTAACCTATCTTTATAATTTTTAACAATACCATTAGTAGGATTAAAAAGACTTGACGCTCGTGAAATTGTTAACAGGAATCAAATTTTTTGATTCCTGTTAACAATTTCACGAGCGTCAAGTCTTTTTAATTACGCTGGCTGAAAATTAGCGTTAACAACATTATCAGACCATCTTTGATATATGTATGAAGTATTGCGAGACTAACTCCAAGTGCCTCGGTGGCCTAACAGGGAAGGCGATGGCACGGAAAGCCGGAGATTCCAGGTTCGACTCCTGGCCGAGGAGTTTTTTTCGCAATATTTTAAAAAATTAGTTGGGAGGGTATCCGGGGTTTTCCATATGTGAGATGCAAATCTAGCATCCCGTATGATTTTAAGAATTGAGATTTCAATTCAAAAAAATACTTGTAAAAAATTTACAAGTAAGATTCGTTACATTTATATATATATATATATATGTACACGCTTAGTTTCCGCACAAACATCCTGCGAATGGCTCGTATCGGCCTTATTTGATTCCTGTTAACCATTAGTAGGAATACCGAAATAATACCGGTATTTTATTACGGTTTTCGGGTAATGTATCGGTTTCGGTACTGTAACGGTAACGGTAACACTCAATTTCGATACTATATCGATTTCGGTATACAATCTCTAGTATAATACCGGTATTGAAATCATACCGGTAATTAAGTCCCTGGTTCAAAAAGTAAGCTTTACCATTCATCGAATCCTCAGAGCTAGAACTTCGACATATTTTCGTGTCGCACTCTTCCGTATCGTCCGCATCTTCAAAAAATATATCTTGTTCATCCATATCCTCGTCTACTTCCTTGTCCATAAATTCGATCTCTTCTTGACTGAATGACATTAACGGATTGATTGAGTTAGCAAAGGATCTTATATTATCGCTTTCCATCTCTTCAACGTGTTCAGGACTGCTACAATGTGGCGGTGGTATTCTCGATCCGCGCGCCTAAAATACTTCATGTTTATTATTAATGTTGAGATAAATGTATATTTAAAAAAAATAACACGTTATCGTTAGCGGCAACTGTGTCCAATATAATTTAACCCGACATTTTTGTATTTTCAATATACCTGTGACGTAAGAGGAAACAAACGTTCGTCAACGTGTTCCCAGCGTTCCGCGCACGACCACAACCAATCTGGATTTACAATTTTTATGTTAGCATTTTTTTTAGCCGCGTTTGCTTTTGCCGTGCCTTTCCTAATAGCAACCAAATGTGTGGTTTTTTCGGTTAAATCCTGTGAAAAATCGTTAAATTTATTATTTTACTTATGAAGATATTATAGACGAGATTAGAGATAAAAGAAATGTGAATTTTTCTTTACTTGTGTTACTTCCGCTCCAAACGCTCTCGCAACCTTGTACGCGCGACTCTGATGAAGTTTCTGATGAGTGGGTATTAAACCGCTAAAAGTTAAGACCAATCCTTTCAATACTTGAGAACGCACTCGCGGGATTATATCCCGCAAAGATTTGTGACCATTTCCTTGATCTAACGTGGCGTAGAATTCTGTATGAATTCTTCGAAGAATATCTTCCAGGTATAATAAATAATCATCGGCATCTTCGTCCGTTATTTTATTCTCTTCCTTCAGTAATTGTGATTTATTTTCTTTTTCCGCTTCTACAGATTGTGTAGCTTTCTTGTCCTCATCTTCATTTGCAATATCAGATGGCACAGAATCTACAGTCTCATTGGAATCTATATTTTCTTTTAAATCTGTATTTTCTTTAGTATCTGTATTTTCCTTCGAATCTATATTTTCTTTCAAGTCTGTACTTTCCTTAGAATCTGTATTTTCTTTAGTATCTGTATTTTCCTTCAAATCTATATTTTCTTTCAAGTCTGTACTTTCCTTAGAATCTGTATTTTCCTTTGAATCTATATTTTCCTTCGAATCTATATTTTCTTTAAAGTCCGTACTTTCCTTAGAATCTGTATCTTCTTTAGAATCTGTGGTTTCTTTAGACTCTGCATTATCTTCAGTGTTTTTTTCTTTGCTCTCTTCGTTCTCGGTTTCTTTTTCTTTTGTTTCATCTTCTTTATCTCGCTCTTTTTCTTCACGATTTGTTGCTTTCGTTAAAGAACCATCAGACGACGATTGGCTGGTTTCACTGGACGATGCAGACCCATCATTCTTGTTGTCTTTCTTGTCTTGCGAATCAGTTGAAACTGATCCGTCTATATTTACCACAAGTTCAGGCAAGCGCAATGCATTATTTTTATCCAATCCCGGTGGCGCGTTAATATCGCCAGTATGACGGAAAAAATGATAAGGTTTGACCTGAACTAGATTTCCACATCCTTGCCACACGTCTTCTCTGTCGTCAATGATACACACCAAGTCATCACCACATGGAAACAAAGCTCTGTAATAATAAAGAATTGAATAGAAACTGTTTTTTTTTTTTTTTTTAGATACAAAACATACAAATTAAAAACAAAAAGATATCTGAGATGACACAAATTTATGAACTCACTTGAGATTTGCAGTTTTTGATGCCGGATCAAAACATTCATCTCTTGATAGTATCCTATGAGAGAACAAAACTCCATCCTTATCCAGCAATGATGCAACAGTATGTGCATAAATTCTTGCTCCAAAAGTACAGATATGCAACTCGTACAACTGGCTCATTTCCGACAAAAAATGTCGAGTGTTTGGTCGTAATCTGGTATGATACCATGGAGAGTTTGGTCCGTATAATTGAAAATGAAAGACGTTCTAATATAACAAAAAGAATAATACAAATAAAAGACAATTCTAATATAACAAAAAAGAATAATATAAAAAATTGTTGAGCTAATTGCACATATAATATTTACAACTTTTGCATGAACAATTATATACTTTTATATTAGATGGAACATTGTCATTTGTGGTATGTACTATTGTTTGATCAAGATCTACGAGTAGTACTAATTTTCTGTCTTTCAAAAGTCGCTCCTTGTCCTCCTTTCCAATTTTTTCAGCTAATTCCGGACATACTTTCAGTTCAGGAATGCTATGTACCATAGCTACACTGGCCTGCGATACTCCAGCCGTACCTCCACCTTTCTCATTCTGTACTCTCAGATCTGCTCCACATTCCGCACACAAGTCTATCATTACAGTAGGATGTGTACATCCTTCCAACAGAGCTATCACTTGCCTGCAACACTAACAAGCTGTGCAGATATCACAAACTTTCAATTTATTTTGAATTAAACATACAAAAATGTTCAATGTCACTGGCACAATTATTTTTTTATTATCCACATTTAAAAAGAATTTGTTATCTGTTGATGTGAAACAAATATAACAATCGCATGCAATGTTCTCCATAATGAAGATAACTTGTCATGAGTAGCAGAATAATTGCTGTTATATAGATAAAACCTGTATATAGTCTTTGAACAAGGACTTACCCTGGTTGGACGATGTCACCGTTCTTCACCAGGAGTTGCTTGACGCGGCCGAAATTTGTTGCACGCAACTTTTTCTCTGGCTCTTTGCCACCGTCCTCACTATCGTTTTTATATAGAAGCAACACTCTACCGACCGCGACCATCGTGTCCGAGCGTACTCTCCATTTCAATATTTTCCCGGGTGGTTCGTCCGATGGAAATGTAACTTCTATTGTCGCCATAATCACGCGATTTTGATCACGAGGACGGGACGATGATAATGAATGGCGTGTGTCCAAAGACAACAAAACTGTGTTCTTAACCTCTTTGATCACTATGTTTTTACGCGGGAGACAAAAATACGACGCGGCGTAAACACGAACGACGTTTATATCGCACCGACGCGATCGAAGGCATAAGTACGTTCTGAATTGATGCGGAATCTTCGTAGTAGAGAGATTCCGATGCGGAATCTACTACGAAGAAAAAGAAAAAACTAATGTACACACCTCAATTATGAGTAAGTGTGCAAATCTAGTCGATTGCGTCACTGTGGTATATGTTGCATTATCAAATTGAAATGTATGAATTTTCTCTTTGTTACAACAATATGGTAAAAAAATTTACATTGTCATGTAAAAATTAAAAAATGTGTAATAATTATATGTAACATTAGAATAT